TCACCTATATTTATTATTCACTCAACAAACACTGCCAGACACTGCTCTCGCTGTTGGCACTAAACAAAATAGACAGAATAAAAATTACCTATCGTCAAGCAGCTTTCATTCTAGTTGAGGGAGAAAGACAACAAAATAAGTAAAACAGGGATGTGAGATCATGCTAAGCGTTGTGGAGGAAAAACACGGAGAGAATGGAGGAGTTGTGGTGTAATTTTAAACACAATAGTCAGGAAAGCTCTAAGAAGGTAACATTAAAGACTTAAAGGACATGAGGGAGTGAGCCATGCAAATATCTTGCAAAGAATATTTCAGAAAGAGGAAATAAAAAGGCTCTGATATTGAAGAATTCTGGTGTGTTCAAGGGGAGAGTAATAGAGAATGAGGTCAGAAAGTTAAGCAGGAAGCAAATCATAAAGCACCTTGTAGACCACTGTGAGATCACTTCGGTTTTATGATTGAAACAGGAAGCTGCCAGAGGGTTTTGAGCAAATATGTGACACGGTCACTTTGCGTACTGTGCGAAGAAAAAGGAAAGAGAACAGGAAACAAAGGCAAGGAGATCAAATAGGAGGTTACTCCAGAAACTCATGATGGCTTGCACCTGGGTGTTAGCAATGATAATTGTCAGATCCTGGATATATTTTTCAGAGTAGAGCTGGCAAGATTTACTGACAGATCTGATGTGGGACATAAAAGACATAAGTCAAGGAAATTTCACGGTTTCTGACCTGAGCAACTGCAAGGATGGAGTTGCTATTAACTGATATGGGAAGGCCGAGATGAGGAGAGGTCCAGGCTACAGATACAAACATGGGGATCATCAGCATATAGAAAGTATCTAAAGCCAAGAGGCTACATGAAGATCCCTGTAAGAGAAAGCAGTTGATTTGGGGCTCTCCAATGTTGCGAAGTGGGGGAACTGGCCAACAACCTGCAATGGAGAGGCAAGTATGAAGGTCAATAGTAATACAGGATTCTGCCTATTGAAATAAGGTCAGTCTAGAGAGAAGAATGATTCAGGAAATCATCACCAAAGAGATGATTTTTGAGGTAACCTTTAAAAGATGAGTAAAGATTGTTCAGGCAAGCAAAGACAAAAACAGGCATGTCAGTTAACCTCTCTATACCTTAGTTACCTGTTTTGCGAAATGGAGGTAACAACACATATAAAAGTCACTTAAAACACTACGGCAACACTAAATGCTCAATACGTATCAGCTGTTATCTACCCAAATAGATCGCAAACTTCTCTGTATTACAGTATCTTGTACCTAGAATATTTACGAACCAATTGTGATTTATTTCCCAAAACATTCTCAATAGGCATCAGGGAAATGTCTACTTCTGCTACTATGGCACATACAAAAGTGGTTTACTCTTCTCCCAACATAAGACAGAATTCAACTAGAGTACTAATTTGATAACTGATTAATCTGGCATAACCACTGCAGTAATGATGTGAAATCTTGCTATAATGAAGTTTGTGCAGAAATCAAAATTAAACTATTAGCTTTAATATTCTACAGTTTCTTCATATAAAAGTTACATCATATAAATTTCATTTTTTCAAAAAGCTCCTCTGTACTGGTACAGAGCCTTCCTTGACATGTTATTTTCTTTAATCTGTACTATGACCTAATTCCTTGAGATTCATTAAGCTGTCAGACTCATACTGCAAAGATACGTGGTGCTTCTATTTGCTTACACAGATAAAATGAATGGCAGGTATTCCCCAAATTTTATTTGGACTTTCATATATTTAAGTTATCCTAACTTTATCTGATAGCCTACACTGAATTATTGATTGGGGAAAAGCTGAACACAACTCATTATGCACTGTGTCTTTACTCGACTGAAGTCTCTCATTAACTTTTCCTTTGAATTCCAAAGGAATGAATCAAGCACAGCCAAAATCCTTTCTGTAGATCATATTAATTGTAACCAATTATTTTCTGATTCAGATTTATATGCAAAAGAACAAAATTACAAGAGACAGAATTTCCAAATATGCATATTCTAGATGTCTTGTTTCTATTAGCTCCTCAGAATTAATAGCTTGCCAACTTTCAAGACAATTAGCTAACAGGTATAAATCACATTGTCATCACAAGTTTCCAAAAAACAAAGGCAAATAAAATTACCTGAGATGGAAAAATATTTCACGGTATAAATGGAAGCTACATAACCATGCTCTATTAAACCTGAAAGTAATAATCCATAGTTTAAAAACAGTGATTTGCCAAATAATTAAAAGCTGTTAATTTGTTTGGCCATTCTTATATCCCATACCAGCATGCCGAAAATGAAATCTTCATCACCAGGCATTTCTCTTTAGGTACCCCTAAAGATTTGTCACAAGGAGAGAAATGGCAGAAGGTAACCTACTCTTTAAAGAATACCTGTATTTTGTAATTGTAGTGGAAGTGCCAGAAGATGAAACTCTCAATATTAAAACTGGGAGAGAACTGAACCACGCACAGAAAGAAACCTGAAAACCGGAGAGGTGGCAACACGGGGAAAAATGCCAATCTTGTCGTAATGGCCTTTTGAGGACCAGTAGGAAGGAGACAAGAACGGGACCGTAGCACCCGTTCTCGCTCACCCCTGAAGACCCTTCGACACCACATCTTACGGGCCGAGTTCTCAAGCTAATGGCATCTCTTCCCTAAAAACTCAAAAGGGGACGGGCTCTCGATGCTCTGAGAACCGGGTTAAACTGTTGGAGGTCCGTCTCCGAGCTGCACGCACCGCGACCGAGTGAGGGCGACAAGCAGAAGATGTCCTCAGGGCAAGCACAAAACCGCAGGGAGAAGGGAAAGATCAGTACCTGTTTGTCTCTCTCGAATACTAGCTGCTGCGGCCGCCGCCATCTTGACTCCCACCATCCACTGCCCGGCTGGCGAGCAGAGCCCGACGATGACGTGGCGGCCCCGACCGCCCCGGAAGCAAAGATCGGAGGGGCGGGACCGTAGGAGGCCGGACCCCGCCTTCTCCAGGGTGACCCTCCTTAACCTTTTTACGCGAAACTTGCAGACCCAATGAGGGAACAAAACCTAGTAGTGTTAAGCATTTATGACAGGTTTGGGGTAGTTACTGTCTGCTGCTAAGGTTTCTACTACAGATCCAAGAAAAAAGTGTCTTCGTGGTCACTATTGTTTGGCAGAATAGTAGGAATTTTTATCCTATCTAATCAAGCCACAGCTTTCCAAAACGTAGCGCTTAAATTGAGCTCTTAGGGCAAGGAACGTGGTGTAGTGCTAAGAACCTAATTATCTGAACTGTTAGTTTGGTTGTCTGAAGATGACGTAAGTGGTGTTAATACTCTAGGGGCTTAAAGATCACAGGACTAAAGTAAACGAAGCTCCTGAAACAAAATGCTTGCTCCCTCTTCTGCTTTCCCTGCGCAGCAAGTCAGGTCTCCCCTTCGTTCTTTTTTTTCCTGGGAAACAGGTGGTTCTGGAGCGGTGCTTTAACCTGGAAGATTTCTCAGTCTCATCTCAGGCAAAATGGTCCGGCTTTACGGTGTTGTTTTGCCTACATGGACACCGGAGCCAGGAAGGTGGAAAATGGCAAACTGGTATTTTCCCCCTTGTAGTAACTGCAAAATCACAAGCATTATTTGTGGGGTAGGGGATAAGTGGATAATGCAAATGTCTTAACGTACACTTGAAGCCACGTGATGACAAAAATATATCCGATATTGATGACTTCTAATTTAATCCACAGATACTTATTGGATGTCAAAAATGAATACACAACCCATTTCCCATAAGTTCAACAGAATTCACTGATATTGTATTAGCTATTTAATGTTAATTCTGACACTGTATCAAATTCTGAAATTATACTGTGCCTCAAAAATTGGTTTGAAAACTTAGCTTTTCAAATTTATGACGTTATCCTAACAATTACATAAAAAGCAAAATTATGTAACACTGCTCTATTTTACAAAATTTTTTTTGAAACATAAGTGATCTTAATGTCATCATGAAACACCCCAGAACCAAACCTACATTTTCTCCTTGTGTAAACTTTGTCAGCTTTATTGAGGTATAACTGACAAAATTGGGAAGATACTTGAAATGTACATTATCATGATTTTATGTATATGTTGTGAAAGGACTGCCCCAACTAGTTAATTACATCATCACCTCACATATTTATTTTTTGGTGAAAATTTCTGAGTTCTATACTTTTAGCAAATTTCAACTATACAATAGTTATCACCTGTAGTCACCATGTTATATATTAGACCCTCAGGCCTTACTCATCTTACAGCTGAAAGCTTTTTACTGCATCATATGATGGAATCCAAAAAAAAAAAATCAAACTCATGGAAAGAGAGAGAAGTGGTTACTAGGATTACGAACCTACATTCTTTTAAGATAGGCATTTATTTTTATAATTATCATTCTAGTCACTAAGAAATTAACTGTAATATTTACTGTTTTATTCATTGTTATCACTAATATTTTGAAGGAATCATCAATGATCTAGGTGTTACAATTAAACAAAAATGACAGTTCCTGTCCTATTGGAAAGTTCTACTTCAGTTTTTGTCTTCATGGAAATAAAATAAACAGGCTTTCCCACTTTCAACATCTTAGAGCCCAATTTGTTAATTTGGGTACTTCCACTCTCAAATGCAAATCTATTAGCTAACCATTTCGACTCCATCACAGACTTCCTAAAACTATGTGAGTCATAATGATATAAAATGCTAAGAAAGACAGGTTTAACATTTATGTGTAGTATATATGTATGAAATGGTAAAACCTGTCCTGTCCAAGGAGTGCACATAGTGTGGGCAAATGTACAGACAAATATACCCCACAGAAGAACAGTGGCTGTAAACAAATAGTCCCTGTAAGGCTGAAACTTGCATAGGGTATTTGTTACATATTAGAATAAGAAAGAATCAAAATAAACTATGGCTGTCAGAGTGTTAGTTAACCTAGTTTAATGTATAACGTTTTAACTGATTCTACTTAACCAGATTTTTGGTTTAAATAATTTATTCCAGCAAACTATTATTTTACATTAGGGGGTAGATAGTTTTAACACAGAATACCTCAGAACAGCTCATTCAAGAGAAGTTGTTGGCCACCAATTGCTTGCAGGATCTCTCAGATGTGGAGAGGAAAGAATCTTTTAACTACTTAGAATTAGCAGAATCTTAACCTTGTTAAATCCTAACAAGTTACTTAATTTAGTTTATGTAAGCACTTCACATTTAGTAGTATCTTTATTTAGAAAACTTCATTGTAAGTGTCATGTTTTTTGGTTATTTCTGAGGTCTTTTAAAAAAAGGGGAACTAGGCTGACAAAGACTATCACTTAATACCTGGCATACAGTAGACATTGGAATATGGCAATTTGAAAAGATAACAGTCAAAATGAGAACCTGAAAATTGGGTTTCTTCAAAGCAATCCAAATTTTTCTAAACTATAGGTAATACACATTTCAAGTAATCCATCAATTTGTTTTTATCCTTTACATTGCATTACTTAGAGCATAAAACCTAGTTTAATAGCTTATTGCAAAAGTAACAAAATGAAGCATGTGATAATCACTATATACAAGAATCACATATTTATAAATAGAATCTTGCTCTCATCATTTTCTTATAACCACGGAATGTAAAAGGCAAACTCACTGAGAAAACTTACCTATTACATACTCTCCTTTCCTACATATTTAGCATTGAGTACAAAAGTTCCAACAGCTTCCATATAGTTAGGGGAACAAATTATAATAAGTTTGGAATAAAGTAAAAGCCAAAGGGAATTCTCAAGTTAGTAATCAAATAAAGGCTTTTTACTTGACTCAAACCCATATGGAAATTAAATATTACAAAGTATAAAATCATGAGCTAGTTTCTGATATTTGAAGAATCTTTATCTTAAATACTAAAATAGTAAAATGACTAAGTACAAGAATAGTAGAGAATTATATAAAATGCCTTCAGATGAAGTTCCCACACCAAAGTTTAAAAATTGTTTAAAAACAATGAATATAAAACTAACGTTAAGACCATTAATAGTAGATGTGTAAGAGGCAAATTTGTACTTTTTCTTGATAGAGCAACAGAAAACATGCTTGAAATATACAGCATTTAGACAATTGAAATATTTAAGAAATACATGTACATATTTATAAAGGTTTATAGCATAATTCCTTTTTTAAATCAATGCCAGTAAGAACTGTGCATTGGCTGTAACAATGAATAGAAAAAGAACAAACATAATACCAATCATTTGACACAGCAACACTGCAAAAGATAACCTATAGGACTCTCTGATATACCTTGATGATACACATTAATCTAAAAATCATACTAATGGAACATTCTTAAAGCCAGAAAATATTTTGCAATATGAATATATATGCTTCACTTTAAAACGTGAATATCCTAAGTTATTATTTACACCACCTTATCCCTAAGGCCCTGTTTACACATAAAAGATTTGAAACACTGCTTTTAATTGTAGCCACTGAAGCACACTGCTTTCCTACCAGCTCTCTCCAATCTAAAATTATGTGTTTAACAGCTTTACTTACTACTGTAGGGAAAACTAATTCAAACAACAAATAACTAGAAAAAAGGTTTAATTAGAGTTTTTTAGTTTGTATTGGTTTAATGGCTTTTTAATTTTACAAAAACTATTTAGATTAAGAAATAAAATACCCAATTTATCAATACATCTGGAAGAAAAGCTATAATGGTGAGGCCGAGGTTTATCTTATATATTAAACCTCTTTTTTACTGATCCTTTAATTACTTTTGATAATTTAACAGAATTCAACACAAGACAAAGAAATGACTTGTTTAATGTTTTAAAATCTTCCAAGTTAAAGTGAAATTTTAATTTGTGGGGTCTGTTAGTAAATGTAACAAAGAAAATATACTAGGATTGTTTCATTTTTCCTTTGGTATTCAGAGACATATTACCAGTATCATATCAATCCTGTCTTTTGTCTTTAAAATTATCAGTAATTTAAGGATACTTCTTGGGGACAACGAGAATATGACAATGGCTGATATCTGCTTTGTGTAGCAAGAAAAATGTGCTTAAAACCAAGCAATTTATCTCTCATTTGACTTATTCTGGTGAAAAACCCATTTATATTTGATAATAGATTAGGGACGTTAGACTTCTCCAATTTCTTCCTTTGCAAGAGTATACATTTGGAGATACAACTATGGGATTATGTATCTTCAAATTGTTATTACATAATTTGTTACTTTTAGAGATTTTTTGATTTTTAGACCATTAAAAAGGAAATGAAACTAAGAGTTTATAAAAGAATATACAGGGACACAGTAGTTAATTCTGCATGGTGAGATTAGAGTGGGTTTTTCATTCTATTTGTAATTCTTACACATTTCTATATTGTTTATATATCTTTCAAAAGCAAATAAGATAACTGTATAATGCAATGGAGCCAACTTAACTATCATACAACCATTCTGATAATAAATGTCAAATAGCCAAACCTACCAAATGGCAATCTACAGAGATCACTCCATTCAGATACCTAAAATGATTCTGAATCAGACATAACATGATTTAATATCACATATGAGATACAGGGGGGAAAAATCCCATGATTACAGCCAAGGTTTTGAAGAAGACACTTAGGAATCTTCAACTATATTTTATCCACCTCAGAAGTGTTTTAATACTATGGAATGTCCATAGATTCTAGAATATTTGTGCAATTCTGCTTTTTATATAATACTTCCCATTAGGCAAAGTCTAACTGCAGCGTGGGTCTATTTTAATATAAATCAATCATCTAAAATATTTTAAGCTAATTTAGTGCCACCCTAGAAAAGGATACATAAACAGATACCCCAAAATATATGCCTTTGATTTATATAACAAGATTTATCATTTAGCTTTCCTATTTAATGCTTTAAAATAAGTAATAATTTTTTGAAAATTGCATAAAACAAGGAAAATCACTGTGGCAACCTATAGCTAATTCTAGTTTACAAAAACAGTGAGTTCAAGTTTTCTTCTTATATACCATGCTACTATACTTGAAGAAAGTCTGTACATATATGTTCTAAAATTATTTATATTGAGATTTATGAAGCACGTATATTAAGAAACAGAAAAATATCAACTCTGACTGGTATACCGTAGCAAAAAAACTTTTTAGCTTAAATGGCTAAAACATTCCTTTATGCTTATATCATAAATTTTATTGGGCCAAGAAGCTGACAACTTTGTTTAACAGTAATGATGAACAGACTTCTTAAACAAAAAGCATCAATAGCAAGCAGCTTTTAAAGAAACACCTCTTGTTCAAAACACTTAAGGTCCAATGAAGTGACAATTTTCTTCCTTTTCTAATCTTAGCGTGTTTTTTATGGCAAAGTCCATATTTTCTTGAAATTCTTTATATGTACTGGTGATTGGAAGAGCTAAAGAGTTATTACACTTGTTTCCAACAGGAAAGTCCATATGAAGGCACTCAATTGAAGGAGTGGGTTTAAATCCAGCAGGTGGAATGGAATTGCAACCAGTTGCAAAAATAAGAATGTCTTCCATTGTTACTGTAGATTTACCATCTGGAAAGTATACCAAAAAAAAAAAAAGAGGGGGAAAAAAGTCATGTTATATATTGATACCAACGTAGATTCTTCCCCAACTAGACTAAAAATGTCAAAAGAGAGAGCCTCCCATGTTGATCTTCAGCAAACCAAATCACTAAGTCAAGAGTAATTAACAGGAAAACAGTACATTCAATAAACATTTATTTGTATCTCTAAGTAGGATTTATAAAATCACTTGGTTGACCTACTCACTGTGTATTTGAATGCCTTGCTTAATTTAAAATTATCATATAGTCCAAGGTGTTCAGTGGGTTTTAAAACTCCATCTTTTGAAGATATGTAATACAATTTAAAATCACTTCTAGATCATCACTATTTGATAAACTAGCTCAGTATATGCAGAGTGAAAACTAAATGGTGAAAAACATCCAAACCACCTAGCTAAAATTTTTTTAACTGAAACTTAATTGTTTTTACACCCTACTATATGGAATGAATTTACATTGCTAATGCTCAGTGATAAATATCACTATCATGCTCTGACCAAGGGAAGAGGAATAATTCAATTTAACTTCAAATTTAAAAAAGACAAAGTAGATGACTAGCTTTAAGACTACTCTATGCTGTTGCAATCACCCAAATATTTAAAGTTTTCTAAGAGAATGCCTTCCACCTCAAATTACCTAGAGGAAAACAACTGAGAATCATAACTACTCTGTAACCTTTCTTCACCACTTTCAACTCAGTCATATGAAGTTGTTTGGAAATAAGTTTTGTAAATATATAGTTAGCAGACAAAAGTCTTATTATCAAAAAGCAAAACTCAATGAAATTAACTAATAACCCAAAACAAACATTCTAAGACAGTTAAATAAAAATAAAATATCCACATACCCTCCACAGCCTGTAAGTAACTATTCCAAAATCCCAACGCCTGTACATCAGATAATGTGCGTACTGTAAAAAGATCACTAAGAATTTTTGCAGAAAGATTCTCAGGTTTATGACAGAAGATGCTACAAAATGCTTCTGGGTAAGTCTGAATTTTCTCCAAAACACCAAGAGTTTTCAGACCCTGTTTAAAACTTAATAGAAGACAAATAATGAGCCAACATTCATACATATCTTGGAATAACATTTCTAGCTAATTTACTATCACACTTAGATGTGAGGAAAAAGACAGAATATGGATATACTATATGGGGTATAATACTTCCAAATTAATAACAAGCAAATATTAATATAAAATGAGTATTTTACATGCCTACATTGTTTGGCTTTATAGAATAATTTGAAAATTAAGCTAACAATTTTTTATTAAGAGGAAAAAGTAGACATTTAAAATTTTACACTTCAAAGCTAATCAGTATAAAAATGAAGTTTTTTAGAGATTGCAAAGGAGTGATACATTTTAGCAACATAAAATTTTAAAACATATGTACTGCTAAAAAGAAATTAACAAGGACAAAACAGAGGGAAAATATTTTTAGTATACAAGATAGAAAAATAATTTCTCTAATAAACCAAAATACAAGTCATTTTTCTAAAAGAACAATCCAATGGGAAATGAACAAAATATGAAAGCATCATCAACAAAATACAAGTAACAGATGAATTTGAAAAACGCACATTCTCACTAGTAAGAACGGAGGTACCATTCTTAGGCGCCTAGCAGACTGACTAAATCCTAGCTGTAGCTTTGGATTCCTTACCCACCTCCTCAGGCACCCTGCTACAGACTCACCTTCCCTTCTATTAGCTCTTCCTCCAGAACACAGAAATGTGCCGTCTTTCCCATTTTTGAATAAGGAAAAAGTTCACTGAATCCTATCTGTTTTCTTTCAAGACAACCTACATGAAAGACTTATCTACAGTAACTGTCTCCTTTTCTTAATTTCCTATTCACTTTCCCTCCACTCCTTTGTCTCACGTATAACTGCCCTAAGTTCATGAATGACCTATGGCACTAGTCTTCTGGTTTTCCCTTATTTCTCTGGCCAGAATTTGAGTCTCTTACAAAGCTTCCTTCTTTGCTTTGCCTTAAATGTTACTATCTGTCCCTCATGGATCTGTAACAAGGTCAATTTCTCTTCTCTCTTACCCTATCCCATGGCTTTATTTAAGCAGGTATACGTTCATTACTATAAAATCTATTATCTCCAGCCCAGAAATATACCCAGCAGACTACTGGGTAAACATATATTCCAAGCACCCAAACTTATTAAGTCCAAAAGAAAGCTAATCACCTAACTACCAAAGTCTGAACCATAAGTGATAATAAATGCCTTCGTTATCCATCCTATTGGTATAGCTAAATCTGAATGTCATTCTTCACTCTTCCCTCTTCCATTCCTAATTACCAAGTCCTATGATTTTCTTCTTCTGAAATCCCTTTTATCTGCCTATTTCTCCATACACATGTTACCATCTTATTACATATCACCTGGAGAGGAACTCTTATACCAGGTGTGTAGGTCTCCAAGTTCGTTTTCCATGCTGTAGCCACAGGGATGTGCCAGAAATAAACCCCAATACTGTCATTCACCCTGAGGTAGGCTGGATGGAGGCCCCCAAAAGATATGTCTACATCCTATTCCCTGGAACCTGTGAATGTGATCTTATTTGGAAAAAGGGTCCAGACACATGTAATTAAGTTAAAGATCTTGAGATCACTCTATTTAGATTACCTGGGCTGGCCCTAAATTCAGTAACAAGTGTCTTTATAAGAGACATTCAGAGAGGAAAAACCCATATGATATAGATTCAGTGATTGGAATCATGCAACCATAAAACAAATAATCCCTGGAGTCACCAGAAGCTAAAGGAAGCAAAGAATAATGGATTGTCCTCCTCCATTCCCAGAAAGAGTGAAGCCCTGCCAACACCAGGACTTTGGGCTCGTAGCCTCCAAAACTATGGAAGAATAAATTTCTGTTGTTTTAAGCCACTCAGTTTCTGACAGTTTTTTTTTTTTACAGCAGTCCCCAGAAACTAACAATACACACTCCATGAAATAGAGTCCAAACTCCTTAACATGGCTTTTAAGATCCTCCACAACACTTGCCTATCCTTCTTGCTTTTAACTTTCATGGTCTGCTTACCTTTGAAGCAAATTTCAGCCAAATTTAAGTTGCTGAGATTATTTTTAAGAAAAATATTCTATTCACTCAACTAAATCCACCCAATCATAACTTTCTCTTTTCTTCTTCTACAAAGGAAGCCACTTGAAACTGTTATTTAATCATTCAGAAATTTTTACTATAGCTTGCATTTCATTTGTTTGATTTTATGTGTCTCCCTAAATAATTAGTATTGCTCTGCTTATTTTGAAATTTTCTATAAATGGTGCCATACTGTATATTTTGCTGCAATTTGCCTTTTGGAGAGTAATTTTCTCTAGTTAAAACTATTATTGTATTAGGAAACTAGTTTCATCACTTTGTTTTGGGCAATTGTACTGAAATACCTTCATGCCAATTTTTCTATTAATTTACCTTCTATTCAAAAAGTTATACTAATTCCTATTTTTTTGATGGCAACCTCAAAATTTTAATTGGCAAATTTGAAATCTCAAGTTCCTCTTCCTGGCCAATATACAGACTCTAGAACACGTAGCTCTCACTCTTCCTATGCTAAACACTTTTAGTGCCACTTTGTGATGTAAATCTCCAAATTAAAACATTAACTTTTTGTACAATCAGTGCTTCGTTACTCTAATACTAACCAATTTCTTTCTTTATCATTTCTTCTCACTTGCAAACCTCCCTGCTAGAATCCTTAACCTCTTGTATACAGTAACCTTGCTATATGCTTTATAGAAGAATTTCTTGCATTATTTGTCGGTCAAGCTACTGACTACCAATGATAATTTTAGTTCTTCCAATCCTTAATGACATTCACTTATTCATTTAGTCCTATTGGTCTGCTAGGACTTCCAGCATATTGTAGAAATGAAGGGGATAATTATATGTATCGTAGGCTTGTCACAGCCCTAAGAGAAATGTCTCATACTTCACCATTAAGGATAATGTTTGCTGAATGTACAGAAGATTTTTGTAAGGACATTTCAAATTGTTAGTTTAAAATAATATATAAATGTTTAAATGTATCAAACTTTTTTTTCTATACTTGTATCAAGATTGTGATTAGTTTCTCCTGTAATCTATTAGTGGAGTGCACTAAAGCAAGGTTTTTGTGATGTTGTACTTGCCTTGCTTCCTTTTAAAACCCTCCACAGAATTTAGTTAATTTTGAACTCATGTTGTTAGATACAAATAGATTCAAGATTGTTTAATCTTCCTAAAGAATTTGTTCTTTTTAATACTGTTAAGGTATTTAAAGGATAAGACTAAAAAAAGATTATTACAATCCCTTTTTTTTGCTTTAAAGTCATTTATTTAAAATGCAATTTAAGATCTTGTCTTTAATACAAGAATTTGAGCTATTTACATGTATTATAATTACCTATATTTAATTATTTTTCTACCTTATATTATGCTTTCTCCGAACATGTTTTCCCTTCCTTGTTTTTAATCCCTTTTTCTGTTCACTATATAATTAAATGTTTTACTTCCACCCCATCGAAACTGGTTTGGAAGTTACATACTTTGTTACTGTTATTTTAGAATTTTCTCTTAAAAGATAAATACTTGTTTTAAGACTCTAATTAATGCTTTCCTACTACTATCTGAATAATACAAGTCCTTTAAAATAATAAATACGATGTCCCTTTTCTCCTTACAGATTAACCTTTCTCTAGTATTTTAATTATTTTAATCATTTCCTACCAAAATTTAGTTAATAGCCAATGCTTATTTTTACTTAACCAGGTTTTTTTCATTTCTTTCCTTACTGTTGCTGCTTGTATCTTTCTCCTTCTGGGTTCAGTTTCCGTCTTCCTTTAGTATGTATTTTATTAATCTCCTTAGGAAAGAAGTAAACCTGTCCCAAAATGTCTTTATTTCTTCCTCTCTCTTGAATGATAATGTAAACAGGTCTGTGAAGTTATTATTTTGCCTATCTGTTTTAAACATTGATATGACTGGAAAAAAAGGCTTTCAGTATAATTGATGCTCACCTTAACAACATTTTTTCCTCAGAATGCAGTTTTATCACAAAGTACACTACATTTCAGCAAATTAAGTCCTGTGAACCTGAGGAGCTTCTCAAGCAGTATTTTCCATAATATCAATCTACCTTCATCTTTTTTAGTTAAATATATGTGTGGGTGCTCTTATCCTAACTTTTATGACAATTCTTTTCAATTTCTTTCTCTTTTATGAGAAGATCCTCTGGAAGATCACTAGTTTTCTCTTCAACTGCCTAGCATTTAAACAATCACAAAGTTTTCATTTCCATGATCATTTTTGTTTCCTCTTCCTTATTTTCCTGTGGGTTACTTGAATATTTTTTGGACTCCATTTTTATCTATAGTGTTTTGAGTGTATTTCTTTGTACAGATTTTTAAAAAATATGATAGTCCACTGGTGACAACATTTTATCAGTTCAAGTATAAAACATCACTTTCCTTTAAGTCCCTTTGCCTTTATGCTGTTTATAATTTCCTAAACATTTCTTTCATATCCATTGTGAACCACATTATAGAATGTTACAATTTCTGTCTCAATCATCAAACACAATTTAGCAAACACAAGAAGGGAAAACATGCTTTTATTCTTTTCATTATCCTTTCTTCCTTCCTCATGTTCCAACATTCCACGTTAATCTTTTTCTGTTTTAAAAAATTCCCATAGCTATCCTTTTAGGGTAGGTCTGCTGGTGACAAATGCTGTTAGTTTTCCTTCATTTAAGACTGTCTAGACATCTTCTCTCTGCTATGTCCTTTCTGAGATCCCCAGCTGGTCTGCCTTCATCCTTCCACTTTTCAAAAGTCTTAAGTCTGTTTTACACATAGTGTCTAGGGTTTTTAACTGTACTTATCAGAAGGAATAGAGAGAAGTGTGTCTATTTCACATCATCCAGAACTGAAGTCTGTGTTCGTTTTGCAACTTAGAAGCACTATTTGATTCATTTCACAGTTCACATTTTATGTTTTGTTTTGGTTTTTTCTCTTTTAAGTAACTGTAATAGCACTTTCTTGTCTCATTTAATTTGTTCTGCTATTTAAACTCTTGATGTGCTATTTCCCAATACTTGCTGTTGTGAATGGTTGTATGGTTTGTCTTTTATTGGTAACTCCTCTTCTTTAGCATTGTATCTTCAGTAATTCCATTAGGCTCAGCCTGTAGAATGCAGAAGTTTCCCTAAACACTGTTACGTGTTTGCTTTTGCCTGGTAATCCTTAAGTACTTTGAATCCCAAGACAAATTACTTTGTTAATAACTTTGCTTCACACTGGAGTCTATGTAGGATGCCAAATCCAACTTTGGCGCAATGATTCTGATTTCATATGACATCTGGGGTACTGTGGCTTCTGATTTCCTTGTTATTTCTGACATCTATAGGACTCTTTTCTTATGAACTCAGATATATTTAACATAGTTTTTTGCTGCATGATTTATCTTTTACATAAAAAGAGGTTTCAGTCTTCACTTTCTATTCTCTTGCCCTCTTCATCTTAATCTGCCTAACTCTTATTTATAATACAGGTTGTAATTTAAACACTACTTACATAGATAGGGAAGCCTTTCCTAACATCTAAACTATTCATATCTATAAAAATAAATAAACTAATAAACAGCAATGAATTATGACTTAGCAACAAAAAAAATTATCTGTAGATATTTGAGCTATTTTGGGGAAAAATATTGTGTATATCTATGTCATTAAGAGATATATTTCAAATAATTTTTTAGACAATTATACCAAAATACAAAATGTTTGGATTACTTTGTACATTAATCATAACTATAATTGGTAATTCTAACTGTAATAAAATTTTACTGTTGAAGAGTCTTACAGTCAGAAGATACTTTTTAAAGAGTTGTATCTAACAGTATTATTTTAAATTTCAGTATTAAAAATATATTGGGAATTGTATCATTTACAGGCATTTAAACTTATGCCATATTTTAATTTGGAAGAGGGCTGAATTCTGTAGAGCTCTAAAAAAGAATGAGGACCATGTCTATATACTATCAGAGGGATCTCCAGAATATACTGTGAAGTAAAAACTGAGTAGAAAAAAGGGTGGATAATATGTTACTATTCATCTAATAAAAGAAATGAGTACACATACACACATATACTCAATCTGCTGTCCTTTTAAAAAAAAAGGAAGGATAAACAATAAAAGTCACCAAAATAATTACTTCATAAGGGGATGGAAGGTGGATATAAAGGTGAATAAACTTATTTGAATACAATTTATACAACAGAGCTGAAATGTACTTTCATTATGGAGTTGACTTTGGAATCATGCAAATACTTTACATAATTTTAAAATAAAATGAAATTAATAAAAATCACTAAAAATTAAAAAATAAATAAAATGTATACCCAGTTGTAGTATAATAACAGAGAATAACTATGCCAAACTGACTTTAAAACACAGTACTCTGACCATATAGCCCTAAAACAAAAATACGAAAGAAATTTTAACCTGTTTTCAATATTATGTTAATGATAATGAGGGTACTGTTAGTCTGTAACTATTATTTATGAAATGTGGAATAAATCAAGTAATTACTTCATACTCTAATTCTCTAGTGTCTTTGAGAACTGAGATTCTCAACATGGGAAGAAGAAAAAGTTAACAATCTTACACTAGTGAATTTGAAATATCATTATAAACTCATGATGTATTTTATCTTAAAAAACAAAATAAGCAAAAACAAAAACTTCCCTAAATCTCCTAGTTTTAGTCCACTGGAAAAGCCTAGAAACAATGACCAATCTGGCAAAAGTTAGCATCCCTAGCACCCAGATTGTGATTTTTGAAATACCATTTCCCATTCAAAGAAACAAATCCTTAGGCCAGAATGTACAAAAGGAGCCTAAAACACCTGTCATACCATACAGAACTGAACTTATCAAAGTATTATTTTAAAGTAACATCTAAATTTTGTCAAATCTCTCTCACATTATGAGACAACCACTTTCAACATGTAATTTGAGAGAATTTTTCACATATAAACAACTTACCTTTCAAAAGGTGCTTGGACTCTCTTAATTACATGATAAACAAGTATGTCTTTTGCCAACATATATTTATCACTTATTGATGTTATAAGTCTTAGACATCCAATAAGCTCCAGGTAGTTAAAACATTCATTTACTAAAGAGTTTAAGTCAGCCAAATTTGTTGCAGTATTTATCTGTAATGAAGATAAGGAATAACACATTACTTTATACTCAACCCTTCAGTATACTAGGGTAAAGTGAAAGTACACCAAGAATTATTTTTCTAGAATAAATGAAAATCCAATTTAATAAATACTGTATATTTCTGCCTTCAAGAAACAGAATATAACACTACTTTAATACAAAAAGCTATTTACATAAAAGGCAGTAACTGACATAGACAAGTTACCTAGCATTAGAGAGGCAAGAAAGATGACCTGTGGAGATTTCATGAAAGAGAAAGAACAGCTGGGACTTAAAAACCTGGATAGACTCAAGAGCATTTGAGGGAACAGTATAAGCAAAGATACTTGACTTTATTTATGTGCCAGACACTTTCATACAGGTTAGCTCTTGAACAAAGTTACAGATAAAAATGAGATAAAAATAGGAGGCAGTCAAGAGTCCACTTGAATGGAAAATTTCCTTATTATTTTTTTTTCAAAAAAATCTCTTCTCCTAGGTATTTACATGATTCCTTCATTTATTTCAAATCTCTACTTAGCTCTCTGAGGTTTCTTCCTTTCTACTCTGTTCAAACTACCTTTACACTCTGTCTGATAGTTGCATATATGTTGTGTCATCCTCCCAAACCTACCACCTTCAGTTTTAGCTGGGCACATAGCCAAACCTTCCTTACAGCTAGACATGGCCTTATGTGACTAAGAGCTATCCAACAGGATGAGTGAAAATTTGTTAAATTTCCCTGCACTCCACTTCCACCTTGTTCCTTAAGAGTGCTTCAGCTATGAAAACAATATTCTAAGTAATAATACAATGAGAGGAAGGAATCCAATACTCTGGATGACTTGGTGTATCACAATTATACCTCTAAAACAGGAGAAGCCATTTCTGTAGAGGCCAGATAGCATTTTATGCTTTGTGGGCCATATGGCGCTTGTCACAACTAAACTCCACCATTATAGTGTAAAAGCAGTCATAGACACGTAACAAATAGGTGTGGTTGTGTTCCAATAAAACTTGAAAAACGCAGCAGGCAAGACTTGGCCTTCAGCTATAATTTGCCAACCCTGACTATAAAATCTAGACTTTAGAGAAAAATTAATTTCTTTTTTGAGCCATTGTCTTTTTGGGTCTCTCTGTTATAGAACCTTAGCCTAAGCTCTAACTTACTATACCCTTAGTATTATCTTGAAAGAGATATTCTCCCTCTTATTTTGTTGCATTTTTATAATACATTTTATTACATAACAGTATATTATATATTTGTTTATCTTGCCTTTCCTCTAAAATGTGAATTCTAAGGAATTTGTTTGGTTCAGTTTATCTTCAGTGATAAAACAGTAAGGGGTACCAAAGCATTTGCTAAGTAAATCAATGAAGAAACATCGGACAGGAGTACAGAAACTGGAGAGATAAAGCCATCAGGAGAGCTGAAAGTCTTAAGTGCCCTAATGAAGAGCTCAAACTGATCAACAGACAATGAGAATCCATTGAGGATTTCTGAGGAAAAAAGCAGTGTGGTCAAAACTACCTGTGAGAGAATCACCCTGAATAAGATTAGAATATCTTAACTGTTTAAACCTAGACATAGTCTGAGTTTGCTAAAGTAGGCATACTGAAAATAAGAAGGAAAGGCCACTCTTAGAGACAGATGCCTTGACACATACTGATAAATGGAGTATGGAAGAATAAAAATGGCCTTGTCTCTAGAATAACTTGGAAATAAGAAATCTCTTGAAAAGAAAAGGAAAATCAGGCAAAAAAAAACATTATAGGAAAAAAATTAGTTCTGTATTAAGTATGCTGGGCTCAGTGTAGTAGGAAGATCCAGATTTTACCTAGATATAAAAGTCTAGGGGGTCAAAAATACAGGTCTGTGAATCAGAAAGGTTATGGATGAGACGAAGCTTTCCAAATAGTATAGAAAAAAGACTGTTAAGACAACACTAAAAATTACCTAAGTTTCACTGGCAAGAAACAGCATTAGAAAAGACAGTAGTTGACACAACATTGCAAACTGACTATACCTCAATAAAAAAAGAAAAAGACAGTAGTAGTCAAAAGTAGAAGGAAGGAGAGTATTAAAACAGGAGAGAGGAATTCAAAGACAGTGGTGATTGTGTAAGTCAGAGGAGATGAGGAAGTAAGAAGGAAAGGCCTCTGTCCGTGGAGATTTAGATCCCTGGACATCAGTCATGAACCAGCTAATTTGGATGAGTTGTGGTAGAAAGAAAAGCCTGACTATAAGTTAAGAAATGAGTAGGGAAGAGGAAGTAGAGACAATGATCCTAAATTACATTTTTTTGGTAAAGAGGAGAAAAGGAAAAATAAAAGAGTCAAAAGGTCTATTTTAAATACCATTTTAGAATGAGGAGTCTTGGGTAAAATTGCTGTAACACAATTCCATCTTTCTTACTTGGTGGTTTAGAAACTGAGGCTTAAAAAGATTAACCAACATTCCCAAGGTCACATAGCTTATATCAGTTATTTCAAACTAAAATCTGACTTTGGTACATTTGTTTTTAACCATTAAACTATACTGCCTATTCATTAAGACAATGGCTAGAGTAGGCTTACCTAGGTGGGAGGTTAAGAGAAGAAAGACTGAATGGATTTCACTGTCTCAGTTTCTAAATCAGTAACATATAGGTAATGATACTTATCTCAGAATATTGTAACTAAATTGAGTTTGTACATTAAACATGTGTAGTACAGGGTTCAAAAAATGATAACTATTTTTAGGCATGAACATTAAGTCTCCCCAGTTGTTTCCATAGAGAAGAAATTCAGCTTGGGCTTTTTCTCCACCTATCAATCATATCTCCCTGTAGGAGAAAGGATAAATTTTCTGCTGGTAACCTTCCACTCTAGAGATCCACCTGCATAAAGGTAAGAGTACTTTCATCTGCTAACATGCAACAAGGAATCTGCCTTATATTGTCTGGCACGGCAGATAAATTCATCTAGTTTTTAGGAGTGTTAGCAAGCCATTCTGACCACAGATCTAAGTCACATTATCTAATTGGCTTTATCAACATTAAACTGGGCACTTGATCTCTAGCTGTCTGACCTTTACATTTATCTTTCAAGTGGTTTTTAACATTGCTGGTAAACAAAAATACTGACACCCTTTACTCTCCACAAAGAGTATTATTCTATTGCAGATCCATCATTTATAGTAAATATACCTAGAACATAGTCTACATCTGAACAAACAGGTACATTTCTTACCCTGATTATAATCTGTGCCACATCAAAGTCTGAAACATCGTCTAAAATTGGTTGGGTATTTTCTGGTCCATAAACAAGGCAGTTAAATAAGGTTTTAGAAAAGAAACCAGGTGAAGGACCACCATGAACCAAAGAAATGGCAAGCATTTTGCCAGCCTCATAGTAAAGATTCTCTTTCAGAGCTGTAAATAGATTAAAAAAAAAATAAAATACATAAATGCACTGTTTTTTACTATGATAACCACCATATGTAATAAACACATATATAATAAGGTAAAACATATAACAAATTAAAACTTAAAATCTATGCATCAGACAAATGTAAAATAACCTAACTCATAGAAGCTATAATAATGTAAAAAATAGATTTCAACTAAAATACACAATTTTATGAAAAATATTTTTCTGAATAAAAAGTAACAACCTATTATAGGAAAAAATGTGAATACAGAAGATCTTTTTATAAAATCACCTATAATCCTACCACCATAATAACCAGTGTACACATTTGGGTGTATTTATGTCTCGTGTGTATATAAATATATAAAAGTTTGACTTCTGCTTTTTTCCACTTACAGTATTGTAAACTTTTAAAGTATCATTTGAAAGTATTCAAATCTACAGTTGTTGAATGCATTAAGACTAATTACTGGCTACCCTGGCTGATGACGTTATAATCAATATCTAGTTACATATTCTTATTTATTATATATCTTTGACTATTAGGATAGACTCCTACATATGGTATTGTGGTCCAAAGGTTATGAATAATTTTAAGGTTATTGATATACAAAATGGCAAAATTTATGGCTCTCAATATATATGCTGTCTTACTACACCATCACAGCTTTCAGAACTTTTCAATGTGTCATTTAAAGGGTTTCAGCTACTTTGATAAGTCAAAAAGATATATAAATTTTCCTTTATTTTTTTCTAAAAATTGTTCAAAGTAATTTCTTAATAAATAACATTAACAACACTTGAAATAATAATTAAATCCCCTCAACAATAACCTTATATACTACATATTAGTAGTCACATCTTACAGATTAAGAAACTGAGATCCAGAAAGGCTTTGTCATTCACCTAAGGATATAAAGCTACTGAACTAGATGCATACAAACTGAATTCACATTTTGTGACTTAAATTCATGTACTCGCCACTGTAACAAAACTGTCTTAACATACTGATTATTTTGAGTTTTTTTTTCCAAAGGGAGTTTAGAATTAGACTGTATATCCTGTATATAGTACAAATGCTCCTTGGTAGTTTCTCAATTATTTCAATGATATTTCAAGAAATGGTGAGGAATTCTAAAGAAAATATAAAAGGAAATCAAGTGGAATAAAATAAGTCTTCTCACTCCATTTCAGATTGCCCACGACAGCAAAAGTGGTATAAAAGCGTATAAAAAATAATGCTAGAATTAACCACTGTTTTGAGATGCCTGTTTTAATCACATTAGTTCCTCACCAGAAGTAAAGACAGAGAAGAATCAGAAAAAAAAATTCTGAAAGCAAAAGTATGTTAAAACTGTTACATGTGGACCAAAAAATTATGTTATAAAAATCCTAGGTTGTAAAGAAACATGACAATTCCAAATTCCAAATATATGAACAAGCAGTGCTCAAATAATCATCCATCCCATTCGGTCACTCTATTCAAATGAATTAAAATGAATATAAAGCACATTTTAAAGAAGTTATAATTAATTACGGGAATCACTTCAAGGAAGATATTGTTATAAATAAATTAAGGATAGTCTTTAAAAATCTTTCACTAAAAAATTCAATTTAAAAAACTTCCCCTCTTTTCTATGATTCTATCATTATTTTATTAACAAAGTGATTATCATTTTGACTACAGGTATTGAGTATCAATTCTAACCAGCTCTTTCTTTACACATGGCATATTCAGTATGCACAATAATAAAGAAAATAATTACCTTGAGAATTTAGAGACAAGTTCTTTGACAAGGACCCTTCAAACAACGGTGAGTTCTCAAGTTGCTGCATTAAGAGACACAGGAATTCTTGCTTTGATCCAGGATGCTCTCTTCCAAAATGATCATTTTCATTAACATACACTACTTCAATTGAGTACGAAGGATTAAAGTTTTGATTTCTGAATCCATCTAAGGCACTATTCCAAATATTAGCTTTGTTGATATATAATCTTTTAGCTTTTTTTTTAATTTGGAATCCTAACTCTATTATTAGAGTCGAAATATCTCTTTTAAATTTGCTGCCTTGCCTATAAAACATGAATTTAAACATAGAAGTAAGTACTCTAAAGTACTTTATGTCACACAGCAGTTACAAAGCCAATCAGAAAATAGAAAAGAAGATTAGAAGGAAATTCTTCCCCAACACCCACCAAAAGGCAGACAATGGCTGCCACTAGAACCAAAAATAGTTATTTTATAAACTTTGTTCTAAATTCTTGATTCCCCCTTCCTAATCTTCTATCAAATTAAAATCATCTAATATCATAAATGATTTATAAAAATGGTGACAGATGATTATCTCAAATTTGATCAATTCAGCAGATTCAAAAGCTCAAACTCTCATCTCCCTGGCCATACTTGCTTAACTGGATTTTATTTCATGTTCACTAAATCCTTTAAAAATAAAGCAAATGTAATGTCTGCTTTCTATATGAGAGAAACATAGTTTTAAGAGATGACATGATATTAACAGAACTCACAGTCCTTTAAATAGTACTTTTTGTCTATACCAGTCACCCTTAAACTGTGGTCCCAGATCAGCAGCAGCAGCAGCATCTGGAAACTTGTCAGAAATGCAAATTCTTGAGCCCCACAGCAGATAAACAGAATCAGAACCTCTGAGCAGGAGGCCAAGCAATCTGTGTCTTAACAGGATTTCCACACAATTTTATGGACTAACTCAACTGTTCTATGCCTCAGTTTCTCCATCTGTAATTGGAATTAATGAACTCAAAATAATCCTGTTGGGGCAAGGTTCATGGGATCATCTTTCTACATCAAGTTGGGAACTGCAGTTTGAAAAACCCTCTTCCAAAACTACTGTTAAGATGAGCTAATACTCTAAATGTACACAGCCACTTTCTGTTGTAATTTTCTCAAAGTAAGAGTTTTATATTTTTCTCCAATTCAAAATACAAACCTCAGCAGATCTTTACGCTGGGCTCCAGGTGACTGTCTGGGTAATTTAGGTGAGGATTCCTCTAACAAACAATCAGTTATTCCCACATTAGTGTTGGGTAATGTGTGTTTTTTGGGTTTTTGGAAATCACCTGCAGAAATTTAAAACCCAATGTTAGCATAATAGAAATATAGACAGAAACTTTTTAATAATATGCATTTGAATAAAAACTTTATTCAAAATTACGAAGTATTACCTGAATTGTAGAGAATACTTCTACATTCCAAACACTCCCAATTCTGTTCCCAGGACTGTAGTGAGGAACAGGCTAAATGTGTTCCGCTAGAACCGCAACACTGACAGCGCTTTATTTCCCATTTGCTGAGGACATAAAGAGAAGCAGATGTTTACACCTGGTATTAACTTAGTCTAAGTCCAATCACCAGCACTGCCACAGGCCTCACTGTTCACCTCACACACACACACACGACCAACCCTTTTACCAAAGGAGAGAAAATAAATTAACTGCTTTAATATTGCATTGCATTTTCCTAAACTAGTTTTCTTTCCTACTTCATTTATTATGTTTGCAACCACCTCCTTTAAATATTCTCTATCTTAAAATAATTCAACTAAATATCAAAATGTAAAGAATATAAATACCAGAAAGAATATGGTTAAGGAAAAAAAATTTCTTTTATATTTGGAGATGACCATGCTCAAAGGAAGATTGCTGTGTCAGTGTGTCTGATACGAAAGAAGCATTCAGTAAATACATTCTTACCTAAAACACTATCTTTCCCATTCAAGGTGAGGAATCATTTCCTATAATGAGCTTGCTCAGATACCTCAGTTACTGTGCATCTCAGCAGGAGCTAGACCTACTACCTGACTCATATTCATATTCTCTGCCGTCTGTTCCCCTCAGAATCCTATCTCCAATTGTTTCCCCACTGCAGTGTGTGACATGTGCCAGTCCGCATTCACATCTTCTGTAAGGGTGTGGGTGTGGGTGACACGGGTGTGGGTTATGATGTGTGGCCTTCTCTTTGTTTTGTTATGAGTGCACCCTCTGTATAGAAATGGATATACTCCCTAAGTGAATGGATATGTGGGTGATGAGAGGTAGCTGGATAACCTCCCTTCTGGTAGGTGTGGGAGAATCTCTCTATGTGGATAAAGGCATGTAGGTAGGTGCTCTCTCTGTGTCTCCCTCTCTGCACCAGATAGTTCTGCCAAATGATGATGAGAAAGAAAGATAACAGCTAACATGAGTGCTTATACACCAGGCCCAGTTCCCACTCCTTAGGTGTAAAGTTTAATCCTCACAATTTTGGAAGGCTGGAAAACCAGTTTCCCCCATTTTAAAGAAGAGGAAACCAAGGCAGAGAGGGGCAGAACTTTTCCAATCAAGTTTAAAGAGTGAGGCTTCCAACCCACTTTACCTGGCTTCAGACTCATCCTCCTAACCACTACACCATGCTGCCTTTCAGCAAAATTACGTTCCTATCACTAGGATGAGAGGCAGTGAGATTACAGAAAAAGCATTCAGATATCAGGTATCTGTGTCCCAAGAGAAAAGGCAAAGTAACTGCCAGAAAGAAAAGGGAGTTTAGTAGCAAATGATTAGGTGACCAGTGGTACACAAGAAATATATATTGATTAATCAAAAAAGCCTAAAATGAATTTAGAAAATATCAGCATTAATGAATACACAGTTTCTTAGAACTCTAAAGTGGTTTACTGTTTTCAAAACACATTTATATATATTATCTCATCTGTTCCTCAGCACAACCCTTGAGCAGGGTATTTATTAGTCTTTACAAATGAATACTCAGGGTCACCAGATCAAGTAACACAGGCAAGGATACACATTACTTAACATCTTTAATGAGATCTCTACCCTTAAAAGATCATATACTCTAATGGCAAAGACAAATTTAAATAATGTCAATTATATTGTAATAAGCACAATGAAGGGAAAACCCAGCCCAGAATGGGGAATCAGGAGTAGTTAAGAGTTGCTTAGGGGACACTTTCCAAAGCTGGCAAGACTTTAGCTAAGTCACTGAAAATTAGCAGTAGCTCACCTAGCCAAATCACACTTTCCATGAGAAATAAGGCTCCCAATACTCTGCTCTGCACTTTAAGTTTCAGTTTATCATGTTAATTAATACTCCACAACAGAGATAAAATTTTATCAAGATTTCCTATATAAGTTTCCTATATATAGATTTGTTACTTTTTATTCTGCATCTTAAAAAATGAAGATACTCTCAATTTCTAATATTCCACACATTACAGTGTACGTAGAAGGCACAAAATGATCGTTAAGATTACAGCCAATGTCTACTGATACTATAAGAGTAATCAATAAATTTCAGATGCCAAACCCTTTTTATGGTGATCCAAAAGAAACACTGATAGATTAATACAGTTTCTTAATTTCTAGAAGAGTGTCATCCAACAGAAATATAATACAAATCATATATGTAATTTAAACTTTTCTAGTAACCAAATTTTAAAAGGTAAAAGAAACAAGTGAAATAAATTTAAATATTTCCAAAATAGTCATTTTGTTTGACATGTAATCAATATAAAAAAATATTAACAAGACATTTTAAAGTTTTTTCTTAATGTTGTGGGCTAAACTGTGTCACCCCCAAAATTCGTATGTTGAAGGCCTAATACGCAGTACTTCACTATGTAAACTGTATTTGGAGATAAGCCCTTTAAAGAGATAATTAAGATAAAATGAGGTCACATATGGGGAGGGCCGTAATCCAATACGACTAGTGTCCTAATAAGAAAAAAAGACAAGGACACAGAGGAATAGTCAAGTGAGCATACAGCTAGAAGGGAGCCATGTGTGAGCCACACAGAGGCTTCAAAAAAAAAAAAAAAATCAATACTTTCCTCTTAGATTTCTAGCCTCCAGGATTGTGAAAAGACAAATTTCCATTGCTTAAGCCACCCACTTTGTGATATTTTGTTATGGCAGTCCTAGCAAACTAAGACACATATAAGTCTTTGGTGTGTATTTTACACTTACAATATCTCTCAATTTGGAATAGCCACATTTCAAGTGCTCAATATTCATCTGTGGCTAGTGGTTACCATACAGAACAGCAGAGCTCTAGAAAACAAAGCCTCATGAAAATACACCACAAAAGTCACAATTATGCAAACTGCAATAATTTCTCTGTAAACAGATGTAAATATACATTTAATAAACATACCTTTATCTCAAGTTACAACTTCAAACACCCCAAGAGCAAAACTATATTTCACTAACTAGAACACCTACTTTCTCAGCTGAAGGTCTAAAAAAGGACATTAACCACACTAAGCATATGAACTTCTCCATATACCTATCAGGCACATTATAGTCTCGCCCTTCTTTGCAACGACATCTTCGGACATCACAATGTTCATAGTGCTGCAGAAGGTCTTGATAAGCATTTTCCTCTAATTCCCAAGACGCATCTCTGTAAATGAAGCAAAATATAAAATATACTTTGGTTTAAAATGTTACATAAAAGGATTGGTAATCAATCTAAAAATAAAAACTTCACAAACTTAGGAACAAGGATAAAACTTGTTCTTCTTTAGGATTAATCATTCACTTCAAGATATAAATCCATTAGTGTCATTTTAACCTACAGTTAATCAGTCTCACAGTGTATTTCAAATGCTAAATGAAAAATCAAGCAGAAATTTTCTAAAATTTACATTTTTCCTAATATTTCATTTCCTATTTTTAAAATTTTGATTTTAGTACCATTACTTCTGGATTCCTCATCTTTAAGTATTAAGAAAATCCTTATATATTTTTAACCACATCTTGATTCTCTTAAGACAATTTACACATACCACTTTGAAACCTATTATACTTGTGTATAAATCAACCAATTAATATTGTACATAAGTGAGGTGTACAATTATTAAGAGACTATAAACCACTAATGAGACATTTAAGTCACAGTGCCTGGTCTTAACAACTAGCAATCTGAGGAGGAGGAGGAAGGGGTGGGGAGGAAGGCTTCACATTTTCCTATTTGAAATGGCTGCTTGTCTGTGAGTACTTAATCAGACATACATGCTTATTTCCAGAAGTAGGGGTTTGCTATTAAATCCTACATTTAAAATATCTTTTTGTCAAATGGCTAAATGCTACTCACTTTTCAGGAATATGAATTCCCATTCTCAACATCTCTTTCTGAAATATATCACTATTATTGCATACTGTGCACCTAAAGAAAAACACTCCTGCATTTATTGCTTGAACCTACAGTGGAAAATAGAAAATCTATTGTTAATAATTTAATAGGTTATCAAGTTATGAATTATATAGCTAATAGAACATGTGTTATTTTTCACATATTACGGAAAGTTATTTTTCTATGCTAGTGGTTCACAAACTTTGATAAACTAAGTTATTCCACTGCTAAAATTTGGAGATATTTTTCCCAAAGGAAAAAAAATTAAGCCAATGAACTGACTGTTCTTTACATCACTCATATATATTTCTCAACCTTTTATATCTAATGTCACTTCTGTTCCCAAATACTGTGTTGTTCATTACTCTCTGTGAATAGAACAGTAAAAATCTTCAGTTACTTCATCTAGGAAGGATGTTTAAATAAATGTTACATAAAAAAGTATCCTTGGTTCTGTTTTTAATTCAATGTCTAAGTCAGTTTTCATCCTAAGAGAGAACCTTAAAAAGTATTCTCATTGCCTCAGCGAATAGAAATACAGAAGCAGCAGGCAGAGGGTATACAGAAAGAGAGGGAAAGGGTAGCTAATCTCTAATTTAAAAAGCTAGTAGCACACAGTCATTTAATAAATATTTATCTTTACTATACAGGTGCCAAACACTATGCTAGTACCAAAACAGAAACATTAAGTGACTTAGATCCTATTTCAAGAAATTCTTGTGAGTAGGCATATGTATATACAATTATAAAAGTGTTTTTACTGTACTTCTTCTAAGAAAAGGATGTACATCGATAGAGGAAGTAGCACTGAAGTTTATTTAAGAGCCTGACAAAAATGTCACAGGGATGATAAGGTTAAAGCCAAAGTTGGAAGAAGTAGGGGTTTATCAGGAAAATAGGACAAAAGACATTACAAGGATAGGGAATAGCACATACATCAAGTCTCAGTGGCAAGAGAGAGTACATATGATTAGGAAACTAATTAATAATATACTTAGGGATTACAAGCTGAACATAATGCACTAAGTAATGAGAATAGAGCAAAGCTATTAGCGTGAAGAATTGATGGGGAATAAGGCATGCAAAAGAAAGACTAGTTAATAAGCTCCAGCAAAAATCTATTTAAAAGGTAGAGGGTAGCAACAAAAAAGGATATACACAAAATATCTATTAAGCAGAACTGACAGACTTGGGGAATGATTTGAGAACGGTGAAGAAAGAAGTGAACTATGAGGAACCCAGGTTCAATGAACTAGCAGGTGGCACACACATAGCATGTGAGAGGGAAGCAACAAGTTATTGAAATCTCTGAACCTAAAGGATCTTTGAGCAACTGTAAAGCGATACCAAGATCTTACTAAATACAGCATATGATACAAGGAAGTATCTAGTATGGAGGAAGAAAGAAAACCAGCATAGGTCATATGAAAGATATCAACAAGACCACAGTAATGACAGAGAAATCCAAACTGAACAAGAATAGTGATAATCCTCTGCATACACAGAATGAAAGTTTCCATCAACTTCTATGATATTAATTGGTAGTCTCTCCTCACAAAAATCCCAATGTTATTTAGCATTTGTAGTGGTCACAAAGAGTCTACGGCCATACCACCCTGAACGCACCTGATCTCATCCGTAGTGGTCACAAAGAAAATTTGCTTAACCACATACAATTCTCATTCTACTGCATGGATTTGTTCTTCCTTCAACTCTTTTTATATTAATGGAGTTCAGAGATTAAAAAATATATGTTTTTCAGGTATTACTGTAGCTACCTAAACAGGGTAGACTCCATTTACTATTTCAGTTCAGAATTTTACCAGAGTGGAAAAAGTCACTGGAGCTCCTTTAAGGAACATGACTCAGAATGAGCTGCCTTGGTGTGATAATTGGTTGTTAATATTTATATCATAGGCACAGCAATAACTGCTCATCTATGTTTATATCATAGACAGGTATCTAAGCGGCCATGACCTTTAATTATATTTGCATAAAGTAGACCTATATTTTTGTTAGTAGTACTATTTCTCATTTTTAATGACAGAATTAGAAAACTAGTATTTTCAGTATTCACAAAAAATCCTATAAATACTAGGTCTAGTTTGAGAACCTCTCTGTTTCATTATTAATGCATAATGAAGCAAATCTTATTTGTCTTGAAAAATAACATACTGTGAAACAAAGTTTGTAAGATGATACAGTTGGCTGCAATTACATTCATTCAAATATAAACCCTTAATTAAGATAAATTAAAGATTCTCATATACTGTGAACTTCTTCCTCAATAGGTAAAGACAGCACTTCATGTTTATGAACTGCACTCTCTGGATCCTTTTACAAACACTTCTCTGTAAGAATTAACAGGATTTCTACCATTTACCCAACAAAATAGACTATCCTGCCACTTTTAACTGAATAATCCTAAAAATAAGAGTTCAAGGTTCATACAAAAAATTAGAAAGTATTTAATAATAAAGCTTTACTGCTTTGACAATTGTTAGTACTTTTAAGACTATTGAAATATAAGAGGATTTACAGTATCTCCTACTTTAAAAAAAACTTTTGCAGATAATCTGTAATCAATAATAACATTTCATTTTACTAACCAATCATTAAAGCTAAGCTTTTAAGGAAACAGTATAAACTTAACTGAAACCTTTGTTATTTGGCATTCTATTAATTATAATTGTCTATCAATTGGTACTTTCACACACGTATACTACACATTGGATGTTATAAATAACTGGGATCTTTAAAAAATTTTTAAATTATCTTATGAATTGAAGAAACAGTAAATTGTTTAACATATGTTTTATGATGTTTCATTTACTAGAAAACTTGTCATCAGGTTTAACATACAAGGTAGCTCTCAAACAGCTAATATTAATTTCAATTCATTAGACAACAATCAGTTCACTGTCAAAAAGTTACGATAAAGTGTTTACTGTAGTAAAATTTTGATCAATAAAGCTGTTTTAAAAAGTTACAAGTAGTAAGAGCTAAAATATACATGTCAATTCTTTCTAATTTAACATTCAAATTAGCAAGCAACAAATTTTATATCAGGAGAAGCTTACAAAACATCTTACCTGTAAACAGTCTCTATGAAACCAAGCATTCTTACAACAAGGACTTCGTAATACACTGTAAGTTGGAGTAGGTGCAATAAATTCCAAGCAAATGGTGCACGGTAAGGAGTCTCTATAATTGTTAGATGTAATTATTTGAACAGGTCGATGGTTCCAACAAAATGACCTAAAAATATAAATTATTTTAAAAACAACATCTAATAAAGTATAAAGCACAGCTAGGCTAGCCTTACAAGTCACATTTATAAGAGAAAATTCATTCATCTTTCTTTCATAATTAGCCTACAGTAGACTGGAACAATGGCACTATAAAGCAGTTTTAAAACCTATGACCAAGGAGAGCTGGACTTGCAAATTGTGAACCTTTTGGTAGAAGTTCACAGAATTTCAGTAACATTATGTTGAGAATCCTACGTAATATTATTTGCAACAGAGTATACACACCATTGTACTCAACCTTGCACAAAACTAAAGGAACAAACTTACACTTAAAAATAATAAACATTTTAATCGTATAATGAAATGCAAACAACTTATTCCTAACCCACTAAATTCATTTCCATTTGTATTTTCTAAACTGCAGTTTTCATACATCATAGCAATCCATTAAATATGTCAAGAACACAAAGACTAAAATAAAACACTCATGATATCAAATACTAAAATTCATAAAATTTTGGTTTTTAAAGCTGAACTTAAGAAGCAAATATTTTTAGGGGCATCTCAGGAAATGCTATTAATTTTTTGGACTCCACCAAATTTATATGACTCCTTCAGTTTACTCAATGAGAAACATATATGGCCCTGTGAAAGAAAAGTGGATTATTAAATCTAAAAAGCAACATAAAATCTAGAACTGTGTAAGGTGGAAATTTTCACTGACTATGAACAAATTAACAGTTCCATATTACATTCTAGAGCTGAAAGCTAGAGGTGACTACTAATCATTAAGCCCATTATAGACACTGCAATTCTCAAGACTTTGAAGATAGATATGACCATAAAGAACGGGGGAGAAATCATACACACATACACATACACACACACACACACAATGTATATGCATAAACTCAGTGTAGCTTTGAAAGGAAATTTTACAAAGGAACTGTATCATTGGGAGACCCATATCCATTTCCCACTTTAACATTTATCTTTCATATTCAATAGTTAATTAACTCACGCAAAATTGCCAGTGAACTGGAAAATACATTCTTTCTGAAGTCCACATGGGAAATGATAACTTCGTTTACATCGGGGTGCAACACATCCAATTGAAGCACCAGTTTTCTTGCAAACACTGCATTTCTAGAAGAAAATATAAAAATAGGAGTTACAACATAAACAAAATTTGAATACTATATATATATATATATATATATATATATATAAGACCAAGGTATAGATGAATGTTCATTGTGGGGAGTCTGAAGAATATTTTCATCATACAACAGCTGTGATGATGGTATATTAAAGAAATTTCCTAAAAAAATGATTCTACTCAGAAATGATCTAAAGACCACTAAGGATTCACTTCTATAACAATTTCTGAGAAAGGAAACATCTATAACCTAACATGTGGGTGAGACAATGAAGTTTCTTTTCCTTCCTACCTGCTAAAATATTTTAAACTGCAGGGTTTGTACACATAGTGGTTGTACATGAAAGTCTCATTCAAATTTCAATAGAAAACACGTAATTAGGAAACACTTATTAAGGAGAACAGCAACAATATTGAAAACCAACCTGTAAAAAACTGGCTAGGATCACTATCCTAACCAAATGAAAAAGTGTTAGATACTCAGAGAAGGTTAAGTAGTGATTCTCCAAAAGATATGCTCAAGTCCTAATTCCTGCTACCTATGAATGTGAACTTATTTGGAAAGAAGGTCTTTGTAGATGTAAGTAAGTTAAAGATCTCAAGATGAGTTCATCCTGGATTTAGGGTAGTCCCATGCTTACATCAAAAGACAGGTGTCCTTATAAGTTAAAGGGGAGGAAAACTTAAGACACACATAGGGGAAAACCACATGAAGATGGAAACAGATACTGAAGTTACGCTACCACAAACCAAAGAATGCTAAAGGTTTCCAGCAGCCATCAGAAGTTCAAAGAGAAGCATCGAACAGATTCTTCCTCGGAGCTTCCAGAAGGAATCAATCCTGACAGCTTGATTCGGAACTTCTGGTCTCCAAAATTGTGAAAGAATAAATTTCTGTTCTAAGTGACTCAGTCTGTGGTAATCTATTAAAGCAGTCCTTGAAATGAATTCAGTGGCAATGCCACTGCCACTAACTTAACAGTGGTATATAAACAAAGACTATTAGATGCACCAATCATTACTAAAATACAAAACAGTACCTAAAGCATCTTGGAACCCTTGAGATGACCATTACAATGGCCACAGACGAAAAGATTATTCAGTCTTACTGCTGCCTCCTCAATTATCATCAGGCTGTAGGAGGATATCTTGCCAACCTGAGGCTGTCCCAGTAAACTGACTTTTGGAATTCCAGTTTTAAGGTCACAAATAGAGCACCTCTTCAGGATTAAGATATTCTCAAACGTTCACAATATATTCAGAGAGGATACAGATATTTTAAGATAACATTTCCAAATCTGACAGGGACATCTGGAGGCCATCTATCTTTCATTATTATCAGGAGGTTAAGGAATTTTGATACTAATATTCTCACATGGTCCTTAGATAAAATGCCGCTGCTAAACTTTTCCCCAAGGTTTTCCCTTCTGCCTTAGAGCCTCTATTTTACCATTAACTCCCCTGCATCTTCAACAACTTTAAAAATAATTGCCTCCATCACTTTGCCTCAACTAAAATAAAGTTCTCTGAATGCTTTCCTTACAGAATTTCTTGACTGACGCTGCTTATTTCTCCATCCTCCTTAAATTCCAGACTTAGCAAGGAGTGGGAGTGGGATATGGACAGAAGCAGGAAAGGGGGAAAACAGAACATTATTTTAGTTCCATGTTACAGATTGTAGGCCACCACTCTATATTCATACTTAAAAAGATCTAGTCCTTTGAGCCTAATGACGTCTACCCTCTGTCACCTACTACTTTCCTGGTCATTCTACCTCCAGATTTTGGCATCCTTCTCTGTATTTTAATTCTTGCTATCATTCTAAACAACTTTAGCATCAATAGGACAACCCTTCTTTCACTTCCTCAACTAAAATGTGTCAAGGCACTTCATCCATGCCAGTGTAACAAAGAATCCTCTCATCACCCAAAACTGCTCCTCCACGGAACTCAATTCCAGTATCACATTCTCTGGACCAAACCCCCTAGACTTCCAATCTTCTCGTTCTCTAACTCTCATTATTTATACTCACACCACACAGAGACCTATAACAGTCCATTCCTTGCACGTGATATAATAACTACCACACAGAAGATCCACAAATTATAACTGAATGAACAGGGAGTTAAGGTTTAGAATACTTATTCTGGAGAACATGAGAAGGCACTCAACATAATCACACCATGCCACAGAAGAGCCACAAGAGACATGGAGTTCATAAATTACTGGTCTTCACAGTAATTGTGTAATTTCCACCTCAATCCATCATTCCAACCCAGCAACTGAGGTATAAGAATAAAAAGTGAATAGTTGGGTTGACTGAGGATTGAAGGTTTGAAGAAAAGCACAGTGGAAATACGGTCGTAATTCTGATGGTAAGAGTGGCTGGAATGATGGTTAGGTTGGAATAAGATAAGGAATTGAAATCACTATTGTCACATATCTTATCCAGGATCAGTTTAGCTCTTTCACCTGGAAAAATACAAAGTATTCTTTCTAAAATGTACTGGATGTGACAAAGTAAGCATTGGAACATATAATCAATGTCTTATAAATTCCTAGTAGAAAAAGTGATGGAAAAGACTTCCCTAGTATTGACAGTATTTGTGGTATTTAGCATAATGAGTAAAATAATTTACTTACCAGTTTAGAAGCCCTAGTCACTTCTTTCCTGATATCTTCTATTAGAAAACCATAAACTCCTTCTTCTTCTTTACCCCTCTGCCAAATTCCACTTGACATCAACTATGAATATATTCTCAATTAGAAAATAAACTCTAAGAAACTAGTATGGAATAAAAAATATATATCTATAATATTCCAATAAAAAAATGGGACATAAAACAACTCAAATTTCAAGTATCTCTTATCTATAATAGCTATTTTTCATGGTCCAAGTAAGATACTACTCACATTCTTTGATTGGGAAGACACTGTATAGTAACAGTTCATACAACCAAACTGGTTTCTAAAAGCATTCCAGAAAATAACAACAAAAAAAGGAAGTAAAGCATAAAATACTTATAATCAAGCTTAAAAAAAAGCGGTAAATACTGAAATGTGAATGTAACAATAATAAATACTACAGGGACAATTCAGATTATCAGTGATATTTCACACTAACTTTAAATTTAGCTGGATTATGAATCATAAAAGGCATATTTACAGGGAAATCTACTGAATTTTACTTAAGCAAAATGTTTGAATTTTTAAAAATCTGTTTTAACCTCAGTTTAAATATGTTAAGGAAGCACGAATCAAGAAAAAGCATGAGACTATGAATATGAAATTCTGGATTGCAAACTCAGCTCTGTGTCCAACTTTCTGGAACCCTAGGCAACTAATTTCATATTTCTGATATTAAACGCAAAAAAATAAAAACACTGGGCTAGACTGTCTCCAAATTTTTCAGTTCTAACATTCCATTATCATTTACAACATTACTATACTTCCCTATTCACAAGAAAATAGAACCTTATAAATGCTGAGCCTAGGTAGGATCAGTATGTTTTCAGGTTATTATACTCAGTAATGAAATAAGGCAAAATATAAGGCAAATTCTGATATGACCAACTGAAATATATTAAATAATTCAAAAATACTTCCAATTTGTGATAGAAACTTATTTTAATCAGTATAATATACCCTAAAGAAAACCCAAAGTGGTATCTATTACTTAAGAAATATGAAAAAATAACCCACTAATAAAACAGCTCTCCTAACTCTACTGCATGGAAAGTAAAATACACTCTTTAGAAAAATAAAAAGGTTTTCTTTTGTGATACAAACTGTAAGACTCCACCTTACAAATAAATCTGGAATGCCAATTTCATGTTCCCTTAAATCTTAGTACAAAATAGTTAGGTTCCTAGACCAATCTACAAATCTTAGCGAACCACCAAGAAATATGTTAGATGATTTCTCAAGGAAGCATCTAAAGAGTTTTAACATGAATGCTGCTGTGGGCATAAAAGTACGTCCACAAAGAAGTGGGGCCTAATTCCGTTCCCCTTGAGTGCAGGCTAGAATTAATGATTCACTTCTAACAGAGTAAAGCAAACGTGACAATGTTATGTGACTATGAAAACTAGATCATAAGGTTCTGTCTAGGTGCATATTTATTTCTCTCTCTCCTTTATCATTTGCTCTGGGAGAAGCCAGATGTGACACCGTCAGCAGTCCTACAGAGGAGCCCAAGAAGTAAGCAACTGAGGCCTCCAGCCAAAAATAGGAGTAAATGAGGCCAAAAGCTATGTGAGTCACTGGAGGTAGATCCTCCAGTCCATCAAAGCTTCAGATGGCTGAACCATGGCTGACATCTCAATTGCAACCTCTTGAAAGACATTGAGCCAGAACCACCCAGCTTAGCCAATACTAGATTCCTGTGCCTCAGAAACTATGAGATAATAAATGTGTACGCTTCTGTATTCCACGATAATTAGTTAAGCAGCAATATATAACTAAGACAAGTGCCAAGAAATATTGTGTGTACTCATGCAACCCTAGCATGCTAAGGCAGTGATGGTGCCACTAATATCTTAAGGTGGATTCAGTGAGGTGAGAAGTCTGTGGAGGGAATGGGGAACAAATGAGAACTAATTCTCAAAGTGACATCACTTTTTCTTCCTTCTAAGTGACCCAAAAATTAACTTATTTTCTTTTCCCCAAGTATGTATTACCTTTAGATAGAACTTTCTAGGTTCTCTGTGAAATAAAATACTTTTCTTTTAGTTCCTGAACTTTCAAGCAAGTCTTTTCTAAGATTTATCACCAGCAACAATGGAAACAATAAAATGATAAAACAAACAATTCCATTAGAGACCTAACCATTTTTTCCTTTTTCCACTTAGGCTCTAAAGGGTTAGACAAAAATAAACAGGTAATGATGACAGGTATTTCTACATACCAAGTAATTTCAGACTCTTAGAATTTGATAAATGAAAAATCTTATTTTTACATTGGCAAAATGAGATCCAGAGAAGTTAAATGACTTATCCATTTCTCAGAAACCAGTCATCAGGATCTAATTCTCTTCTTTAGAAAAAGACCAAGTTTCTAGGATTTAATTAAAATTTATACTCACCAAACAATAGTAATGTACAGTGAGATCCCATTTCTCATTAGTTTTCTTTTCTCCATATTTAATAGGACAGTCATCATTTTTTCGACAGAAAACACAAGCTAACAGTAAAAAAAAGTAAATAGATATAAAAATATTTTTAAATTTAAAAATAACTATGGAATTAGTGCTCCTCTCATCTGATGTGTTCAATTCCTTCTGAGAAAGCAAATCACATATTGTTATCAGTAAATTAAAACTTCCAATACCTACTTCTAAACAATGTGACTTTACATTTTTTCCATGAATCCTCAATGATGAATTCTAGCATGTAGTTAAAATAGCAATGTGTAGGATAACACACTGAAAATAACAGATTGGGAAACTCTATCTCTCCACTACAGCAATGTTTAAGCTGCCAAAATCATCAGAATTAACTTTTCAGAAACTCAGAAATCTGATTTAAAAGCTTAAAACAACGAGAAGAATGCTTAATAAAGAAACAAGTTGCCAAATTTTGATGAGAGATTTGTGGCATTTTAATTTCCTACCATCCCCCACTCTCTAGTTAGGCAAAGGCCTTAGGCCATGTTCAATGTGTGATGTTCCTAAGGCCCACGTTCCTGGTGTAATTGTCTAAGAAGAGGTAATACGGACCTTGTTGAAAGAAGTCTGATTGTGTGTTTTGACCTATGGGGTGGCTCTCCAAGGGCTGGGCTCAGATGCTTGCCCTGTTTCACCTGCCTCAGAACTTTCTCAGGGCTGGAGCTTGACTGTCAAAAGCGTTCAAGACAACTACTCTGGCTGCAGCAGCTTGGAACAAAGGACAACAGGGCAAGCAGGTAACAGAGTCTAGAAAAGAAGAGGCTGGGAAAGGGGGATACAGAGATAAAGGCTTTGAAAAGCTCCCATATATACCAGAGAATATAGAAGGACAGTACATGCCCAGGGCTGGATGCATGCTCAGAAGCAACCTTAGAAACCCTAAGCTTTCGCCTCTGGCTCATCTTTAGGCTTGTATGCTCATGTAGCAAGGCTGCATGAAAAAGGAAAGATCCTAAGTTAGTCATTTTTAACCTTAAAGAACTAGAAAAAGAAGAGCAAACAAACCCCAAAATTAATAGAGGAAAGGAAATAAAGACTAGAGCAGATATAAATGAAATAGAGAATGGGAAAATAGAATGAAAACAAAGTTATTTCTTTGAAAAAGTCAACAAAGCTGACAAACTTTTAGCTAGAAAAGAGAGAAAAGAGAGAAGACTCAAAACTTTTGACAACGCTATAGAAATCAGAACAGTGTGGTACTGGTATAAGGATAGGCATATAGATCAATAGACGAATTTTCATTGATCTATATGTCTATCCTTATGTCAGTAAAAGAGTCCAGAAATAAAACTAGTACATCCATGGTCAATTAATTTTGAACAAGGACGCCAAGATCACTGAATGGGGAAAGAACAGTCTTTAACAAACAGGGCTGGGATGACTGGATAGCCACATGCAAGACAACAAAATTCTACAGAATGGGAAAATTTATTTGGAAATCACATACCTTCTAAGGGTCTAGTGTCCAAAATGTGTAAGTTTTACAACTCAACAATAAAAACATAAGTCAATTTTAAAATGGGACAAAGGATCTGAATAGACACTTCTCCAAAGATCTATAAATAGCCAATAAACACATTAAAAGATGCTTAATATTATTAGTTATCAAGGAAATGCAAATCCCACAATGAGATACCACTTCACAGCCACTAAGATGGCTATAATCAAAATGTCAGATAATACCAAATGTTGGCAAGGATGTGGTGAAATGAGAACCCTTATATACTGCTGGTTGAAATGTAAAATGTAAAATGGTACAGCCACTTTGGAAAATAGCAGTTCCTCAAAAAGTTAAACAGTTACTGTATGATGCAACAATTCCACTTTTGGAATGAAAACAAATGTTCAAATAAATACTTGTGCACTAATATTCACAGCAGCACTCTTCACAATAGCCAAAAAGGGAAAACAAATTAAATGGCCATCAATGGATGGATAAATGGATAAACAAATATAGTATATCCATACAACAAAATGTCATTCAGCTCTAAAAAAGAATGAAATACTAATACATGCTACAACATGGATGAGCCTAGAAACATTATGCTAAGTCAAAGAATCAAAGACAAAGGGTCACATATTATACAATTCCATTTATACAACAGATTACATTATGAAAAATAGGTAAATCCACAGAGACAGACAAAAAGTAGATTGGTAGTTTCCAGGGGCTGAGGACAGGAGAAATGAGAAGTGACTGCCTAATGGATACAGTTTCCTTTGGAGGTGATGAAAATGTTTTGGAACTAGATAGCAGTAATGGCTGAACAAAATTGTGATGTACTAACTGCCACCAAATTATACACTCAAATTAGTTAAAATGATGAAATTCCATGTTATATGTATTTTATCACAATTATAATAATTTTAAAAAGGCAAATTGTGGAGTCAGGGAAATCTGAGTTAAGACTTAGCGCCACACTTTTGCTCTGTAACCTTGGACAGGTCTTATAAACACATTACGGCTCTGTTTCCTCATCTTAAAAAAGAGGACATTACTTACCTCAAACTATGCTAATGAGGATTAAATGAGACAGTATACAGTAATATAATTAAATGGGTATGGCACACAGGCAGAACTGAATGTTAGTACTATAATCACCTATCCATTGTATCTTATGATATTTACTTGTACAGCAAAATTCCAATTCTAATAAAATAAGAAAATCATTAGCTGAAGAGAAAAGACTGAGCATCTCAAGGTGGTAGATCAACATAACATGGAATGAACCTGAATCTCTAAATGAATTCATGGAGCAGAAACTCTTTGTCCAATTGCCCCTAACCAATCCACACTGGACTGTAACATGAGCAAGTAATAAACTTTTATTATGTTAAACCATTAAGACTTCAGGGTTTACCTATTACAGAAGCTAGTCTTATTTACATTAACTAGTACATGTACTCAAGAATGGATGTTGGAGGAGGATATAGTTCAGTGGTAGAGTGCCGTGCTTAGTTAGCATGTACAAGGTCCTGGGTTCAATCCCCAGTACCTCCTATGAAAGATCAATCAATCAATGTAAAATGATAATATAAAACCTGATTATCTCCCCCAACAAAAAAGAAAAAAAAAAAAAAAAATGGATGCTATCTGTTGGAAAGGTACTATATTGTCACCAAACAGATTCCAGGACTGGAAAGAAACAGTATGAGTTAATACTTAATGTTGTGAAATATGCCCCCTATATTTGCCCTCCCTCACTTGTTTAATGAAATAAACAATAACTGAAAGTACCTTTCCCCGATCTTTTAAAAACTTTCAGCTCCCCTTCTGTCCTCACACAAATTAACTGACCACATAAATTCTAGCAAATTGCTATTGTTTACTGGACATATTACACCAGGAGCTCCTGCATTAACTTGTTCATCCCTAATGCCTATACTTTTAGCCATTAAGTGCATGCAGCTATCAAGAGGAAGAGGAAAACAAGAAATTAGCCAAGACAACAGAAGAGGAGTCCTCAAGGTGAATGCTGGATGCACCTGCATAGGCTATATGTTGTATGCTGTGGACCCGTGCTTTCCATTTGTTCCCCTCCTCCCTTTGCCCAGTATGGAGACCTTGGACACATGACAGACAGGTTTCAGGCATGCATTTTTATAAGCAGGTTACTTTTTTTATTTGTACTTTACTGTTTTTTAATTTTAATGTTTAAAATTCAATAAAGTTGTTCTGACTTTATCGTATTTATTAAGACCACCTTCTACTACACTATAGCAAATGATACTATTATGTTATGAAAATGAACACATTCATATATGTAAAAAACAGAGTCAATCTTAAGAAAAATACTAGTAACAGTACAGGTAGTATCTGCATTTGGCAAATACATGAATGTAGTCTGCAAATTACTACGTTTCACAACTAATAGCACAGCTGATAGAAGTCTGTAGGTAAAAGCAGGAAAGCAAAGTAGAGAGAGATTTAAGAGCACAAATTTCCTTATCCAACATGACAGTGGAGTTATCAGATACTCTCTGCAGTGAGAGTTAAGATATAGGGTTTTAAGTGTAATACTTTGAGAATCAAAAAATAAATCTTACAAAGGATAGATGAAGAAGTAGTAACAAAAGAGTACATAGTAACAATTTAAAATTTTTATCTTCCATAATAGCAAGTCAATATATACTGTTTATAACCAATCAATGAAGAAAACAAAAGCAAAGGTCTACATCTCTGAGACTCCTGTGAGCACTTACAAGCAAGTTTTCCTTTTCATGTTAAACTTCTGTGTATTGTTTAAATTATTCTCACCTGCATTTTATCTTTTGTAAAAAAAAAATACACACATACAAAAAGATGGAAAAAACCATATTTATTAAATACTGTTATTCAGATACAAACAATACCTGATAAACACACAGAGAATACAAATAAAATTTCGCAGATTATCCTCTTCTAGAAGACTTTCATTAATATGAATACATACAATACTATAGTGTATAGAAACATGAACTAAGGATCAGGGAATTCATTCCTAATGTTTGAGTAACAGTCTAAAAAGATTAATAGTAATGAAAAAGCAAGAGTAAAATATCTTAATATTTTAAATTGTGTTTGAAAATATTTTAAATACAGTTACTTACCAAGATTCTGTGACCCACCAGGTTTATTTTCATTCATTGTACTAGGAAAAATAAGAATAAATAATACAGCCATCTTAACTTTAAAATTTTCAAGTTATCCATTTTAATTAAATTCAGTCAATACATGATTACAAATAAGCTGCATGATCATTTCTCACTCTAGTACTTAATTCCCTCACCTCTCACACATTTAAGACCAATAGTTCTCATCAAGGGTGGTTAAGTCTGGGGACAGTGTCGAAATTGAAGGGAATGTTTTTTAGTTATCAAAAAGATTAAGATGACTACTGGCATTTAGTAGAAAGAAGCCAGGACTGTAGGATATACCAAGAAAAAAACAGACCTAGACTTTCAAATTTCTAGCTGGTCATTCAAGTAGGTTAAAAAAAAAACCTACCTACAAACACATTAACCTAGAATTTAAGTCCATTTTACATATAAAGATCAAGTCTTTTTTTTTCCCCTTGCTATTTTAGGACAAAATGAATTCTTTCTAAATGACAGTTTCTATGTAAGTCAAGGAAATTTGTCTATTTTTTTCATAACTTTACCAAGAATTGTTCATTGTTCAGGAAAAATTAACAACAAAACATCATCAATAGCAGTGTTATTCATATTTAAGTAGCTTACAAAACAATCCTTTATCAGGCTATATTTGCCACTGTTGCATTTGCAGGGATTCTATATAAAGCTGCAAACATCTGACTGCCACATTGTATCTTCTAGCACAGTGCTCAAAACTATTTACAGATTGAAAGACATGAGCTGCCTCTGTTTCCTCACTCCCTACTAGCTAACAAATAAAATTATTTGTATTCATTACTGAAATACAACTTTTCTCTAACTGTTCTCCAGAGCCAAAAGATCAACTAGAGGAAGAATAGTATCTTAATAACATTAAAGTTTCACTTTACCAAGGATATATGAACAGCCTGCTTAAATGTTCGTTATGAGATCCAAGTATGATAACATGTGTAAGCTCTTGGAATTTAAGTGGAAACGGGTAAACATAATAATTAATGCTGCTAGATAAATGTAGCCTCATTTTATAGTTGCAAAACCTATGCTCAGAGAATTTAAATACTTGTACAAGGTCACAGAGCTCATGGGTGGGAATCAACTAACTCATAATTGAGTGACTATGCCACTTCACATGAAAATAATTAAAACACAATAAATAAATATATTAAATATCAAAGAAAGGACAAAGGTACCCTATAAGATTACTATCAAACTGCATCAATGCTTTCTTACAATTTAGAATTCATATTTCATTCTAATTTTAAGAACTGTTTTGGGTTTAACCATTGGTTTTCTCATATTATCATTTTTGTGCTTTCATAAAAAGTCACAGTCCAAGTCTTTTGAATCACTTTTACTCCAAGCCTTCAGTATTTTCGCTTCTTTCTTACAAAATCATCTGTGCCATAAAGATAGGTATTTCTTAAAAGAATCTGTAAAACAACTGAAGAGCCCCACTTTAAGCAGGCTCTGCAATTAAGTGGATCTGGCTTACCGTTCCCATTCCCTCCCCACAACCATTAATGTACAGTTAAAAGAGTCCTCCTTTAGTGTTTCCTGGATTTTTTGTTTGTTTTTTAGAGGTATTGATTATACTCCATAGAGACATATAACAACACTTTTGATGTTTATACATGTTCATGAAATGATTGTGGACTGCCCTACTTGGTCAAAACTGATTGAGGATCACAACTGATTTTAAACATGCTAAGGTATATCAGGGCGTTGGGGCAGGGCCCATCATAAAACTGCCCCAACGCCCTGCCCCAACGCCCAGGGCCCATCTTAAAACTGATGAAATACAATAAATAGAAAGATAAAATGCCTCTTTTATTAGGACTTCTTTATAATTCAACTTCTGATGATGAATTCAGCATATCACAAACTATCCATAGGTAAGAATTCACTGCAGAAAATTCTATAAACTCAGGATAAGAGTACTTAACCTAAACATAAAAGTTTTAACTTACATAGTCAGCATCCCAACAATACAGATTTATATTTGAAATCCAATCTCTCCAGTTTATAATTCCTTAAGCTCTCTCCTCTGTAGGTGAATTGCAACTACTACTTACTTTTAGACTCCCTGTAATTCAGAATAATGACAGATCCACAGAGGTAACTTGGTTCTAGACTAATTTTTCTTTATAAAGAAATCACAATTTCTATGCAGCTATGTCTTCCCCTCTTCCCCTTCCCACTACAAGGACCCAAGGCTATCTCTCTTGGTTGGACAACACAATGAAGTTCTGTCTAAATCTTTATAATACATGTACAAGTATGCTATTTAAAGAAGGTACCTGAAGTTTCTTAATTACCAGCCTCAGAATTCTGTATTACACAGTGCTTTCTTATCTTTAAAAATAAATAGAAAATAATACAAATGAACATCAATCTCACATGTCACAAAAAAAGTGGCACAGGAATATGGAGAAGACAATACTAAAAACCCTCCAAGTATCAATGACTACAAGCTGATCGTTAAGAAAGATCTCCAGTGCTATCAGAACATGTACAGGAAAGGTTTTTCCTGTTTACCAATCTAATAAGTACTTCACTCAGTTTTTCAAAGTGTATTAATACACAATATTCCAGATAGACCAATGTAACAAGAATAAAAAACCCAGAAACAGTTCCACACTTTTCCAGTTACTTGCTTTAGAAAAAAGGCACCTAAGCAATTCAATGAGAAAAAGAGAAATCATTCCAAAGAATGGTGCTGAAAAAATTGGATATCCATACAAAAACAAATAAACCTTGACTCATACTTTACACCATAAACAAAAATTAATTTGAAGTGGATTATAGATCTTACTATAAAAGCTAAAACTGTAAAAGTTTTAAAAGAAAAATAATGCATTATACTTCATCGAAATTAAAACTTCCACTCAGCAAAAAATACCATTAAGAAAGTGAATTATGCATGTCACACACTGGGAGAAAATATTTGCAAAAGATGTGCCTGACAAGACTTGGATCCACAGTACTTAGAGAACTCCTAGAATAATATAAAGCAAACAATTCAATAATGAGATGGGCAAAAGACATAAACAGATACTTCATGAAGGAAGATACATGAATAGCCAATAAACACATGAAAAGATGTTCAATATCACTGGTAACTAAGATAATGAACGTTAAAAGGACTATGAAAAACAACTTTACTTTAAACCTGTAATAATGGCTAAGATTAAAAAGACTATCAACACCAAACATTGCAAAGGACATGAAGCAACAGGGAACTCTCATAAATTGTTGATTAGAATGCAAAATGAAATAATCACTTTGAAAAGTTTTCAAATTTCTTAAAAGTTAAATATATATACTCAGATGCAGGAATTTCACACCCAGATATTCATCCAAGGGAAGTTAAAACATATACAGATAAAAAATTTTATACAAAAATGTTCATAGCAGCCTTTTTCATGATATTCTAAAACTGGAAGCCTACAAGTCCATCACCAAGGAAGTGCATAAACAAATCGCAGTGTATTAATAAAATGCAATACTATCCAGCAATGAAAAGACAGTAAGTGCTGCAAGATGCAACAAAACAGATTAATCTCACAAATATTATGCTGAGTGAAAGAAAGTACATCCTATTCTCATCCACATTACTCCATTCATACGAAGTTCTATGACAGATAAAACTAATCCATCATGAAAATTATCAAAACAGTGCTTGTCTCTCAGGTGGGGAGATGACTCAAAGGGACTTAAGTAAACTTTCTGAAATATCCTGCTTTTGCTAGGATTATCTAAGTAAGCCACGTTGATACAGAGAAGAAATCTCAATTTCCAACTGAGGTACAGAGCTATAGATACTGACTTCCTAACACAGCATTCCTCCTCTTAATTTTGTAATTTTCAAAGAAATACCACTCTAGGCCCACTTTGTAGCTCAGACTTGATGTTGACTCTTACACAAAGCCTTAGCTTTGCTTTGACTCTATCAAAACACTATTTCATTTAAATTTCACCTCAATGCCACCCTTATCCAAAATGCTATAAAAAATATATTTTATCCTTTGCCTGGTGAAAAGCCCTGTGGTTCTTCTGGTCTGCAATTTCTCTCATTACAATGAATCAATAAACCTAACTTTATCACACTGCAGGTTCCTTATCCCTGGTGGTTTTAGGCTGACTGGAGTAGGATTGCTAAAAGAAAGCAAATGTCACAAAACATTAAAAATTGGTGAATATGGATGGATAAAGTGTATACAGGAGTTCCCTTTACTATTCTTATAACTTTTCTCTAAGTTTAAAATTATATCAAAATTAAAAGTTAACCCCCAAATCAGATAATGTTCTAAAGATATAGTAAAAATCATATTTTTGACCGGTTCACATCAGGTTTCTTCCTAATCCAACACCTGAAAGAAAACTTTTGCTTCTAAATCCTCACTGATGATTGCTTTATTTCAAACAACAGTGTACAAAACACAACTACAGAAAAAAAATTCACATATTTTCAGTTGGATTTTTATCATTTGTTTTCTTTCTAGTATATGAATTTTAAGACTTCCTAAGAGGAAGGAGGAAAATAATGCTACGTAAGTATATATCTCAGTAACAGCCTAAATCTTAACAATACTCTTGGTCTTAGAAATAATATCCAAGTATTCCCCTTTTCCTTGAGAAATCATTAACAACTTGATGAAGAGCTCCAGTATGGCACTGTCAAGAGCTATTCTGAGTCTTCTGCACTACTTACCTCCACTTGCTCAGTCAGTGACACTCAGTTTGATATGCCTTCCTTCAAGAAGTGGAGCCTTATTTCCTTCTCCCTGATTGTGGCCCTGCTTAGTAACATCCACCAAAAAGCCTGGCAGAAATGACAATGTGTAACTAGGTCATAAAAGGCATTATGACGTCCTCCTTGCTCTCTGTCATGGATCACCTGCACTGGAGGAAGCTGGCTGCTGTGCCATAAGGACTTTAAAGATGCTCCCTGGACAGGTCCACTTCGCAAAGAACTGAGGCATTTACCCACAGCCATGTGAATGAGCCATTTTAGAAG